CGCCTTGTGACCGTTAAGCTATTTAGTAACTGTTTCTTCGAACATGTCATCATTTTCCAAGAGCTTACCCCTCCCCCTCCCATGCTTACGTAAACATATTGGTACATTTTACAATTTTAAGCAAGTATTGGCTTTCACGCACATGTTCTGAGCACTATTCACTGTCTGGAAAATCAGGAATATCTGGCTCTTAAAATTCACGTCCACCAATGGTGGAGATACAGGGGATTAGTAGCATTATTTTACCAAATAAAATAGTACTACGAAACTGTTTTTTTTTTCGAAACGCGCAAGTTTTCGAATTTTACCTTCAATTTGCTACAAATCTCCTGTGTTTTTTCCTAGTCTGCACTGTTTTCATAAAAATATAAAAAACAAATTAGATCATTCATGAAGAGCCGAGATACGATTAGTTTCAAAATAAAATAGGAGGCCTTGATACCAACTTGACGTTTCTTGGGAGATAGATTGTCAAAGTTATGTGTTATACGGTTACTAATACCATTTTTATTTTTGTAAAAGTCAAGTCACAAGTCTATTTTTTCCATTGTTGGGTGTTGTGAAATAGAATTCAGCAAGGATGAGTACGCCGATATTATTTTTGCCTACGGGTTCAAGAGGAACCGGAAGTGATTAATTTGGCGTTGGATGATCCTAGTTCAAGTACTAGGTAGATTGGAGCTCAGTTACCATGTTTCCAAAGTCTTGCGTGGAGAATTTTATATCGGGAAGTTTTACATCCTTACCATCGGCAAAATGTCCGGCGACGAAGTGCAATGGCGAAATTTTTGTGAGTGGTTCCTGCAAATGCATAATCAAAATGCAGATTTTATTGATTTGGTTTTGTGGTCAGATGAATCGCCTTTTACGAGGAGTGGAACCTTTAATTCTCATAATGAACATATTTGGTCGTAAGAAAATCCCCGTACTGTAAGAATCCACTCGTTTTAACACAGATTTTCTAGAAATGTCTGGTGCGGCATTTTTAATGGCCAACTGTTTATGCACACATATTGCCACAACGTTTAAATGGAAACTCATACTTAGCTTTTCTAGAGAATTATGTAGAAAATGTGTTAGATGATGTTCCGTTAGCAACTAGAATACGAATGTGGTATCAGCACGACGGTGCCCCACCGCATGTTGTGACATAGCCGCATGGTTAAATAATAATTTTAGACAACGATGGATTGGCAGAAATGGACCCGTAAATTGGCCTGCGAGGTCTCCTTATTTGAACCTAATGGATGTCTTTTTGTGAGGTGCTTTTAAACAATTAGTGTATGCTGAACAAATTAATACTTGTTGATCAGTTACAAGAAAGAATAGATAATGCGTTTCATCAAATTTAATCCACAACAAATTTTTCGGAAATACTTTTTTCTTTATTAAAAAGATGTCGCTCTTGTATCCCTCAGAATGGTGGTGTTTTTGAACATTTATTGAAATAAAGCTTTGATTATGTAATTTGTTTTTTTTATATCACGAAAACAATGCACTCTAGGAAAAAACACTAGACTACATATCTGTAGCAAATTGAAGGTAAAATTCTGAAAATTGCGTGTTTCGAAAAAAAAACAGTGGCGTACTATTTTTATTTGGAAAAATAATGCCACTAATCCCCTATATCTCCGTCACTGGTGCACGTTAATTTTAACTAAGGACTTTTGAATGTGGACAATACTTAGGTTAATCCACATACCAAATTTTCATTCCAGTTGTCGGTTTTGAAGATAATAAAAATATTGTTTATTATTTTTAAGCTTCAACTATCTTTTTAATGAAGCCCTTGAGGAAAAAATGTTACATAGAAGACCCCCCTTAAAATGCGGTCCTGTATATGATGTTTTATTTTTGGTCACGACTTGTGAATCACCCTGTATACATTAACAGTATTAAAAACTCTCTGTAATTCGACAAAAAATTAAACAGAGAGCATTGTATCATTAAGATCTTGATAGTTGACTTTTCTCGTGACACGACTAAATTCGTCTGTGTTCAAAATATTATATTTGTTTACCTGTATACAGGGTGTCCGCAAAGTTGGGGTTTTCCTTTACACGACGTGTAGATCTTGAAAACATAAGCAATTTTTCTTAGTACCATATACACCAATGTCTTAAGGGAACCGAGATAAAGGGCTCTGCAACATCAAAAATATCTGAATACCGTCCTGTAGCCGCGACATCCCCGAGTGGTAGTAGGACACTAGCTCAACCCGACGACAGAACTGGGTCGGGGTCAGTGTGTCAGGTCAGTATGCAACCTTCAAGCGACGGTTACGGTCACGCGTGTAGAGGTAATCGCGTAGACGAGAATCCCTCAACAAGCACTAGAGACGTGGCTAGAGAAGTGCAAGTATCAAAAACTAAAGTGTGGAAACGCTGCGTGAAGAGGGGCTGTATCCGTTTCACGTCCAACGTGTACAAGCCCTTTAACCTGACGATTTTCCAGCAAGAGTGCGGTTTTGTGAGTGGTTGTTGCATCAACATGACAATAATCCGGACTTTTTGAAGTGCATATTGGTGACAGACGAATCTACGTTCACGCGTAATGGGGTGAATAACTTTCGCAACACTCATGTTTGGTCAGTAGAAAATCCGCACGCTGTCCGTCGGGCACATTTTCAACAAACATTTTCGGTGAATGTTTGGGCTGGCATGGTGAACGGTATGCTCATTGGACCATTTATTCTCCCAAATCGATTGGACGGGATGCAATACCTATAGTCAACGCCAAACAAAGTGGCGTGCACGTCATCAAGGTGGGTGTGTTGAAAAATTTACATTGTTGCCAAACTTTTTGTAAAATAATAAAATTTATTATTTACATATCTAGGTTTATAAGCAATATTAACCTCAAATGAGAACAAAAATAATAGTATAATAAAATTATAGATCTGTACTTGCATAATCATTAAGTATGACAATTATTGATCAGATGACACTATGAAACTACCATATTTAATTGATAGCTTAAAGGTATGAATAAAAATCCAAATGGGGTCCTCCAAATTTTATGCATGGTATTTATTTTACAGAATTCATACAGAAAAATGCATTCTAAAATTAGGTAAGCTACTGGTGTAAGCTTTTTCTGTACAATAAAGTTAGTCGGAGTTTCTTTCTTCAGCGCTGTCTGAATCTGAATCTTCATCACTCTCAAAGTTGATTATTAAAGGTTCGATGTCTGGTCGATCAAAAATTCGTTCTCTTTCATACCATTTAAAAATTTCTTGCTCAGTATGTCGAACACTATTTTTCCACATGTCTGGGGTAACCGTTTGTAGAGCCTCGTTCCACATATCCAAACAGTCTTTTTCACTGTTACCATCTCTACCAATATGTCTGTTATAGTAACCTTTTGCTATGCCCCAAATTAACTCAATAGGGTTAAATATACAATGGTAAGGAGGCAGACGAAGAACTTTGTGCCCATGTTGTTCCGCCAATTCATCAATCACGTATATTTTAGGTGGTTTGTTTCTAAAAAAGCAGTTATTTTAAGAATAGGAATAAACAAAAGAAATATAAACTGTCGACCAAAATATATATAATTAAGAAGCATTATGTACCGAGCAACAATACTCAATAGCTGTTTTAAACATTGTGTTTAAAAATGGTAGGTTTTGATTTGTCAACCAGTCTTGGATATTTTTTTTTGTCCATGCATTGTTGGGCACTTTGTTCAATGTCATGCTGTGATAAGGGGCGTTATCCAGTATAATCATAGATGGACTCTCCAATTTTTCTAATAACTGATGTTGAAACCATTTCAAAAAATTGTCCTGGTTCATCTCTCCATGGTAATCGCTCAATTTTGTTTTCGAAGAAAATATCGCTTCACTACCCTCAATAAACCCATTTTCATTTCCAGCATGTAATATAATGTATCTAAAATATATTAGTTTTAAATTTTATAGTGCAAATTGTGTAAAAGTACATACCTTTTACCATCTGTTTTAATAGCTTTCACGCTTTTTTGGTTTCCATTTTGCCAAGAGCGACCTATGGTCCCATTTTGAAATATCCAAGTTTCATCGAGGAAGACAAACTGGTATAAGGCCTCAACCTTGGCTTGATTGTATTGCCTTAGAAATTCCACCCTTTTCAAAGCTATACTTGGTAGTTCCATGAGCTCTCGTCGCGGATTGTCCTTAAGCCACTTAAATCCAAGATCTCTAAGCAACCGCCTTAAAGACGTGGCACTACCATCAAATAATGCCCTATCTCTTAATCGAGACCATAAAGTTTGTATCGTAACTTGTTCTTCTGAAACCATGTGTAATATGACGTTATAATTTAGTTAACAAATTAATGCAAATTTCTGATAAGTTATTATAATACATCTTACTTTTGTGATACATATTATAGATCACTTCTCGAATGGCACTTGTATCCAATGTCGCTGTGTTGGTTACACGTTTAATATAACTCCGCTTTTTCTTGGGCGATTCTAAATTTGCATCACTTTTCACACCTTCGGAAATACGACTAACTGTCCTTAAACTAATTTTTAAAGCAGCAGCAACACGCTACAAAAAATGAAATAAAATACATTACATATAATTATTAGTAACCTACCTCTTGAACAGCATTTAAAGGCAACAAAGGCCCGTTGTTGTCCCTTTCTTGCTCAAAGTAGTGCATTAACGAGGCCACGAGTTCCTTACAGCAACGAGGCCACGAGTTCCTTACAGCGACTATTTAACTGTTTGGGCATCTTTATATACCAAAATTGCCTTTATCTACTCGTAAAATGAATAATTTTGTTTTGAAACAAACAGTTGTTGATTTACAGTATGCGGGGCCAAAGGATTTATAAAGATTTGAAATGCCACAAATTGATTCAGTGTCAAAATTAATACAAATGTCAGTTCCCAGTTTAAATAAGTTTCAAGGTGACAATGTGTCAACGCTGCGAAATCGGTTTAGTGCGTTTACATGTCGATAAGTGATTGGAGCGTTTGCATAACATTTTATTTCGCATAATGCGTCTAAATTTATCAGAAAGCAACTCATGTGATATTTTAATAACAATGTTTATATGACTATTAACCATAATAAGAGAGTAATGACCATTTTACAATTTATATATCACATTAATATGAAACTGCAATAGAGCAATTGTTGGTGATAGAAACCTAGGCATTAGGTCGGGGAATTTTTATCGTGATGACGTGCACGCCACTTTGTTTGGCGTTGACTTATAGACTTTTTACGCAACATTTTGCCTTCCTTGTTTGCCTGCGTCTGCTCGGTAGTGCATCAGCTGATTTCATTTTCTGTTGGAGCGGTATGATTTCGGGCAGAGATTTCTCGTCAACTGGAGAGTGAGTACTTTTTCCTTTATTTTTTTTTACTTGGTCGCCCCAACCCCAACTTTGCGGACACCCTGTATATTGGATCATGCTACTGTACAATACTTATTCTAATAGTTTCCTGCCCTAGGCGTTCATCAAGCGAAGGTAGTATTGGCGCCGATCTCAAACATTGCACTGATCATACGATTTGTTCACAGACATCAGATGACAAAATCAGAGAGTATCATTCAATGCTGCTTCAGGAGTGCGCAAAGATCTATCGCCCGGATCGGTACATGTCTCAGCTTCCATCGCTGAAACTTCCATATGTAGGTCACATGGAGATACCCATCAACACAGGCACCATCAAACCAACACCAGCTATGCAAACTAGAGCCGTAAGAGTCGTTACCAAGTAAGTCAATACTGAAAATAAATTATAAGCGCCAAGCACAGTTTGGTATAAAATGTCTGCGAAAACTTTCAAACGAAATAGATGTCACTCGTCCTACTTCTACCTCAATTGACAACCGAAATATAGGCAAACATAGATGGAACTGAAGGAACGCATATAGACCAGGAAGTATTTCCGCATCTGATCAATTTTTTTTTCTGATTTCCGATTCGTTTTTTTTGTATGATCTTATTCAAAAAGAGCCTTTTTTAATAAATTCGCATGTTGCCAAGCCCAAAATTGCACCAAAAATTATTTGAATCGTATACAAAAAGGACCCTTTTTAATGAATCTGCATGTACCCAGGCCCAAAATTGTATCAGAAATTGTTTGAACATTTTTTGGCCAATTCCAAAAATTGATTTTTTCCCTGGACAGTTTTTCCGATTTTTTAGGTAATTCTGAACAAAACGTTTTTACGAACTTTTGTATATACCTGACAGTTTTTGAAATATAAGCGATTGAATACATCAAAAAATGCAAAATATGCCATTTAAGACCCCGAAAAATGATATGAAAAAACTTTTTCAAATACTAAATAGCTTATATTTCGAAAACTGTCAACTTTAGGGAACAATTCATAGGAACTCTTTTGTTCAGAATGACACAAAAATTTTTGTTCGGAGCGAAAAACAAACAATTTGTTTCAGAAATGAGTTAACAAATTTACTTTTTGATCTGGCGACACGCAGATTCGTTGTAAAAAATCGAATCAGAATATTTTTCTGAGCAGATGTGAAGATACTTCCTGAACTGATAGTAATTCTTTTATAAGTATGATACTGGTGGAAGTAGTTGGTACACAAGCACCAATTGCTGCCAGAATCACCCACTAAGATGGGGATGGGCTAAAGGTGTGGGATACTTTCGTTCGTCGTCCCACTTATACTGTTGATACAAAATGTCGATGAAATGGCGCCGTATACTGTGCTTTCCAGAATGGTCACAGAGAGCAGAAGCAGAAACGCGTGTTGAAATCATTTTGCTACCATTCCTAAGGCCAAATCTACGGGAAAATCTATGATGTGTGAAATATGTGTAATAAATCCGAAAGGTAACATCAAAAAATTGAGATATAACCTCCCCCATCCCGACAACCCCCAAACTTCAATTTTAAATTCCTACCAAAATTTTTCTGATAATGATTAGGAGCCTCTCAAACGTCAAAAAAAGGAGTTTGAGCGATTTCTATTCTTTTTGCTTTTTCGCTCCGTAGTTCCACTGCTACTGGACCGATTTTCAAAAACTACTAATCAAAACAACAAAAGCTTCATCCAAATCCGAGCTTTTTCTAACTGATACACGGGTCAAACATTAGCGGACAGACATACATACGTGTTCCTCTATCTTCTTCTATCCACACACGATACACAAGCATTACCGTCATTGTAGTACAATTAACACGGCGGTCAATTTTGCGATAGGACAAATTAGCAACAACTGAAATTCCTGAAACCTACTGTGGCAAGCATCCTCAACTTCATTCTGAGCAAAAGCTCGAATAATGTGTATAGAATAAATAATATCAAACCACCTTTTCCGTTGATCTGTCTCTCTATGCTGTTCGTCTTTTATAATAGTATTAATCCCAGCTTAAATCATACAGTAATGACGCGTATTCACTTGTTTTAGGTATGTATATAAAAATCCAGTTTGCATAAAAGCTACTAAAAAGAAAACTTGCCCAATGGCCACAACTACAAAGCACAGGGGTGGCGAAGATGAAATAGTAACCAAAGAATACTTTGTCCAAGATAAAGAACAAAACCAAAGAAATGGAAAGCATGTTGATTTGGGTGGAGAAGACGATGATACCGTGTGGTAAGTTTAAAACACGAAGACAAAAATCATTATAGGCAGGTTTATGAGATTTAATCTAATACATCGATCATTCCAATTTAATGTTAAGGTTTATTATTGTTACACAATATTGTGAGAGGACATTACCAAGATGCCTCGTCTCCCAGAAATGTATATATATATATATATGCTATCTAAACCCTTATACCCGTAGGTGTAAGGTGCAATTACATTATTTCATTTTCTAAACTAATTAGTTATTATATACAAATTTAGCCCAGTCTTTCTTATTTCTCGCCCGGCGCACTGCTTCGTTCCAACTTATTCCCCTGTTCTTGAGTATTTTCGCCAATCCATCATTCCACGTCTTTTTCGGTCGCCCTCTTGCCCTTTTCATTTGAACTATCGCTTCCCATATGAGTTTAACTGGCCTTGTATCCTTCATCCTTACTGAATGATAAAACCATTTTGAGTCAATCCTTTGTAGTACAGATTCCACTCCCAGCTCTTCTCTAATTACTTCGTTTCTAATTTTGTCTTTCCTAGCCTGTAACTTGCTTTTTGTCTGTTCGTTAATACCCAGCTCTCGCTTCCAAATATAAATATGGGTCTGAATACTGTTCTGTACACGGTCGTCTTTGTTTTTCTGCTTATCACTTTCTTCGTTAAGAAAGATGTTTTCAATGTGTGATAGAGCCTAGATACGTTCATTAATCTTTCGTTGATTTCCTCTTCCATTGTTCCATCACCTTGTACTACCACTCCTAGACATTTGAAAGCTTCGACTTGTTCCATATGTGCGCCCTTAGTAACTATATTCATTCCATTCCCTTCTGCTGTCGTCATCACTTTTGTTTTAGATCCGTTTTAGCGCACAATAGCAGGTCGTCCGCGAATGCGCACTCTGAAATATTTATTGGCCTCATTTTGTAGAAACCGACCTGTACTTTTTTAATTTTGCTTTTGACGGCCTTTATTACATCATCCATAATCATAATGAATAATATCGGACTCAGGACTCCTCCCTGTCTCAGCCCATCTCATATGATAAATTCCTCTGACGTCATGTTATCCTTTCTAACATAGCATGTATTTTGTTCGTATATGCTTTGTATACACTCTGTTAGGTCGTTATGTACTCCTCGTTTTGCCATGCTGTCCTACACAATTCTCCTTGGCATATTGTCGAACGCTTTTTCAGGTCTAAGAAAGCTAGGCTTAGTTCCGTGTTCTTTGTATTACATTTTTGGATTAGCTGTTTTATTGTAAATACGTATATATGGTCCGGACATAGCATAGTCCTTTTCTGAACCCACTCTGCGCTCCGTCTAGGTCGTAAACTTTCAAAGGCATACTTAGCAACGTGATTCCTCTATAGTTGGTGCAGTCCAGTGTGTCTCCTTTTTTGTGGATGGGGGATGATTATTCCTATTTTCCAATCACCGGGAATTTGTGTTTCTACCACCGCATTGTTCAATAAATCGGTAAACAGCTCCGCTAATCTTCAACATTTCAGAGATAATACCATCGTGTCCCGCAGATTTCACCCGTTTCAGCGCATTGATGATTTCCGCAACTTCTTTTTGTATTTCGCTTTGCTCAGTTTCTGTTGCTCCTCTTTGTGGGAATACTGAAGTGTCATTTGCAGTCACATTTGTCTTCGGTGTGTTCAAGAGCTCTTCAAAGAGTTGTCTCCATCTTTCTACGAGGGACGTCTTTTAAGTTTTGCATATGGAAATAAAACAACACGGTAGGTAGTTTTAAATGACTTTATTGTTTTTCGAAGTATTCTCCACGAAGACTAATACACATCTGCATGCGCTCGAACCAGTTTTCGAAGCACTTATTCCACTCGTTTGCTGGCAGATCCAAAACGGCATTTTTGAACGCGTCAACTGCTTCTTCTGGTGACTGGAACCTTTGACCACGCAGTCTGTTTTTAATTTTCGGGAAAGTAAAGAAATCGTTAGGACTTAGATCGGGACTATATGGAGGATGGTCCAATAATTCCACGTTTTCTTTCGTTAAATACTGCCTTGTTTTTTAGGCTGTGTGCGAGCTTGCATTGTCTTGGTGGAGGATGATTCTTCTTTCGGGATTGATTTTTCGAAGCTCGGTGATGACTTTTGGCAAACAAATGGTGGTATACCAATCCGCAGTAACAGTTCTTTGCTCATTAAGAGGAATTGTTGCTTTTGAAACAAATGTCGCGACCATCTTTTTCGAAACACTTCGAGAACGGATGACTTTTGTTGGCTTTTCTTCACCTTGGAACACCCAAACAGCCGACTGTCGTTTATTTTCTAGTTCATAACAGGAAATCCACTATTGATCACCACTAACAATGCTGTACACATTTTTTGAGTTTCCGGAACTGAAACGGTTTAGCGTTTTTTGACACCAATTAACCCTGGCTGCTTTCTGCTCTTCAGTCAACATGGGGGTATCCAACGAGAAACTAATTTTCTTACTCCTAATTCTTCATGTAAATTTTTTTGTATTGAGGTCTTTGAGATCTTCAAGGATGCCTCAATCTCGCGATATGTCACATGTCTATCTTCAATGATGAGCTTGCGCACAGGATCGACGTTTTCCTGAGTGACTGCCGTTTTTGGTGCACCCACCATGGAATCGTCGCTAAGACTCACCCGTCCACGTTTGAATTCTCCATACCAACGGGAAATTGTCGACTGATGTGGCGCTTCGTTGCCGAAAACAGACAGTAGCTCAGCAAGGCATGCTTGTTGCGGTAATTGTCTCTGAAAGTTGTAATAAATTATGGCGCGACAATGTTCTCGGTTGAGTTCCATTTTTCTGATGACTTGGTGACACTTAATAATTTACTATAGTAAGAACACTGCACGTATTGTTGTGAAACTTTGAATCTAAGTTTACTAAAGAGTGAGGTTAAGATTCGGTACTGACGTTCGATCCGCGCGGCCTAATATGTTTCTATATGCAAAACTTAAAAGACATCCCTCGTATTATAATTTTAGGCTCCGTAATGTTTTGGTTATGCTTGTCTTTGACATGCCTGAGATTATACTGTTTAGGGTTTCTTAAAGTTTTCAAAACTCTATAAAATAGTTGTTGGTTTCCTCTGCTGTCTTGTTCCATCTTAGTCCCAAAATCTTCCCATGACTGTTTTTTCACTCCCAGTATCACCTCCTTCGTCTTTATCCTTTCTTTTTTATAGTCGTTGTAAGTCTTGTCGGTCCTATTCCCTAAGTATGCTTTCCATTTAATCTTTTTTATTTTCACTTGTCCTTTAATTTTGGCGTTCCACCAACTTGTTAGCTTTTTGTTTCTAGTCATGGAAGCATATCCGCACGTATCTTCGGTCGCTGTTATTATAATTTCTTTAAAGAGTGCCCATAACCTGTGGACGTCCGAATTTCCCTAACTTCGCTTTAGCTGTGCAAGTTTTTCTGCAGTCATGTCTCTATATTTTCCAAAAAATGTAAATATCACTTAATAATATTTATAACAATACTTTGAATTTCAGGAATTCAAATCTCTTAGAAGCTCATTATGACCCTTACGAAGAAATTCAGGAAACTAGAGATGAAACTTTCAACGATTTCATAGCTCCCAGTGAGACTCCTTTCTATTCCAGTAGGAAACAAACGAAAACTCCAAATTTAAGTGGAAAGAAGGTTTATGATATGTTGATCGAGGATAGACTTGATCAATTAGAGACTATCTTACCACATTATGTCAGGAGAAGGGTTTATCAAACTTCTACAATTACTGTAAGTATGAGTACTTAATATCGTAATAGGTAAGCTAAATAGTTTTTCAACAGAGACGGGTTGACATTGAAATGGAATAAACCAAATTGATAATGAGATTCTGTTTTTTGTTTGGATCTAATTCCTTCTCAAACTAGGGGCGACGGCTCGAGTTGTGTTCACTTTAATGCCGTCGGTGGATTACGGATAATAATTAGCAAAAATTGAAGAGTGGCTGCCGGTGTACTCATACGATGTAGCATAAATGTGATTTAAACAATAAAGCTAATTTAAAAGGAGACCTTTTATTGTTAAATAACAAGATACAATTCTTCTTTTTTGTCTTCTTGCAAATCGATTCATGACTTCTTCCATATCTTGAGCCACTTGAGCGTAGAAAATGACCTCTCAGTTATAAGTACATTAAGGGCCTTCGCACACGCAACGTAAGCGTAGTCGTTTCGTAAGCGTATCGTTACGAGACCTGCAGTATTCCACACACACATCGTCTCGTACTCGTATCGTTTGTTGAGATCTTAGTTGAAATCATGGCGTCAACGGTACCAGATGTTTCTGGTGTATCCATTGATGATCTTACATTTTCTTCAGACGAAGAGGATTTTTTATTGTTTGATTATGTTAGAAGTTGAACGCGACATACTTATTGGATCCATCCATACATCGCAAGTAATAAGAAGAAAAGATTGTTTGTTGCTGAACGTGGACTTTGAGAAGATGATAATAAATTCCGAGGCTTTTATCCAATGAGGAAGGAGACATTTCAGCCATATCGAGAGCAATTAAACAACATTTTTCAAATTTTATGCTTGCTTCTACGCCTGCCTTACGCCAGACCGCTACGACTATCGTAATACGACTGAACATCTCATACGCTTCGCTGCAATACCGCTTCATGTGCGGACTTGTTAGCACACATACGAGCTCGTTTTGCTCTCGTACTACGCGCGTATTACGATACGCTTACGATACGACGTAGTGTGCGAAGGCTCTAACTGGTAATGTCGCAAGGATACATCAGAATTTTTTGATGTTGGGATATATTTTGGCATCGCAATTTTCAATAAGAGGAATCGACCGAGGAAAATGCAGAACTCGCTGCCATTTTGTCATCCAGAGCCGATATACATTCACGATTATTAAAGTTGGCGTATCAAGAGGGTTAAAAACCATCTTAACAGCTGAACAATTGATACAAGTTTATTTTGCTAATGTGGATTCGAGATTAAGATATGGAGTATGTTTTTGGGGTTGGTCAACGCGCTCTGAAGATGTATTTGTGTCTCAAAAAAGATGCATCCGATCATTAGCAGGCATCTCACCAACAGAAAGTTGCAAAAAATATTTTATAAGTTTCAACATTTTAACTGTCCCTTCGTTGTATATATATGAATTGTTCTTACATGTTTTTAAAAATAATGAAAAATTCAAGCGAAATTGTCATATGCATAATTATGATACAAGGACTTGTAATAATTTATAATGTAAACTTCAGCAAATCAAAAACGGCATTTAGATCACCTAATAAAATTGGTCCGCTTCTTTTTAATAATTTACCATGCCACATTACCTCGGTTAAAAATATTAACGACTTCAAGTTCCAGTTGAAGCAATCTTTGATAAACAAGTGCTCTTATCGTGTTGATGAATTTTTGAACATTGCAACTTGAGATTAGTTGTAGGTTTGTAGCGAACGAAAAATTGACAATTTTGTCTGTATGGAAATAAAGGTTAAAGGTAAAAGTAAAGGTTTGTAGTCGATTGCGAGTTGCTGAACGGTTTCTAGATCTTCACTAGTATAAGTGTACGTTTACATCGAAGGCGCTTCGCTTGCAGCTGTGCGCTTTACTTTACAGCCCCGGGGAAAGCTAGAAGAACGAGAACACAGCTTTAAATGAATGTATTCAGACCGCGCGCATGGCGCTAAGCACCGTGCCTTACGTTATACTATGCGGAGCAGTGGAAAACGCGATGTGTTGGTTTTGCGTTGCGTTTTGCCTCACTTCTTCAGAGAACTCCGAAGGTTATCTGCATATACAGGGTGTCCGCAAAGTTGGGGTTTTCCTTTTCAGAAACAACTACCCTTGAAATAACAAAGGTAATGTGTAGTGAACCAAGTAAAAAAAAATAAAGGAAAAAGTACTCACTATCCAATTGACGAGAAGGGCTAAGTACGTCTCTGCCCGAAATCATACCGCTCCAATAGAAAATGAAATCAGCTGATGCGCTACCTCGCAGACGCAGGCAAACAAGGAAGGCAAAATGTTGCGTAAAAAGTCTAGGTATTGCATCCCGTCCAATCGATTTGCGAGAATAAATGGTCCAATGAGCTTACCGTTCACCATGCCAGCCCAAACATTCACCGAAAATATTTGTTGAAAATGTGCCCGACGGACCGCGTGCGGATTTTCTACTGACCAAACATGAGTGTTGCGAAAGTTATTCACCCCATTACGCGTGAACGTAGATTCGTCTGTAAAAAAAATGCACTTCAAAAAGTCCGGATTATTGTCATGTTGATGCAACAACGACTCACAAAACCGCACTCTTGCTGGAAAATCGTCAGGTTGAAGGGCTTGTACACGTTGGACGTGAAACGGATACAGCCCCTCTTCACGCAGCGTTTGCCACACTTTAGTTCTTGATACTTGCACTTCTCTAGCCACGTCTCTAGTGCTTGTTGAGGGATTATCGTCTACGCGATTACCTCTACACGCGTGACCGTAACCGTGGGTTGAAGGTTGCATACTGACCTGACACACTGACCCCGACCCAGTTCTGTCGTCGGGTTGAGCCAGTGACCTTGTACCACTTGATGATGTTGCAGAGCCCTTTATCTCGGTTTTCTTAAGACATTGGTGTATATGGTACTAAGAAAAATTGCTTATGTTTTCAAGATCTACACGTCGTGTAAAGGAAAACCCCAACTTTGCGGACACCCTGTATAATGGAAGAACAAATTATCACCGCCGTTTTTAAAGGAGAGGCAATATGAAATCCGAAGCATTCGTTGCATAAAAATGTATATGCGTTACAAAATCTCGATAGAGGTGATAGAATTCTCCTAACGGTTTCCTACATATATTAATCTCATGCACCCATAATCGTTTTAAACATTTTTTTTCTACTCATTTTCGAGTAGTAATATTTTCTTAACTCGTAAAGGAGCTATTGTGAACTGATTGGAAAATGCGTCAATAAATATAAGTGTGTTTTATTAGCAGCCGACGCGACGTCTAAAAAGCGAAGCGCCTCCGATATGAACGAACCCGAACCCATAGAGGTTCGCTTGACATGAAGTGAGGTGAACAGCTCCAAGCGAAGCGCGTTCGATGTAAACGTGCACTAAGTGATTCTCGGAATTAAAACATCTAACTGTCTCTGTGGATAGTGGCTCTTGAAGATCAGTTGCCTAGAAGAGGTGTAAACAGCCTTCCAAAAATACTCTTCTGCTTTCTATCAAATTAATAAAACCGCTTTTATATGATTTTGTCCCTTAAAAAGTATTTTTATCAAATTTGCTCACAGCTTTAAAGGCGCACAGGAAAAGGTTTTTTCTTATACTCTTGTCCAAATGTCTGAATTTTCAATTTACTTTAATCACAGAACACATGAGGCTCAATTTCCAATAATGCACTAACGGACCTGCAGTAGTACCAAGCCAAAAAACGCAAAATCACTATTTTATATATAATTATGTCAAGCTGAACCTATAGGCAACTAAACTTGCGCAACCCTCTTATTTCCACGCCATCATCGATGGGCGGACAAAATGATCAGTGTTGTCAGAAAACCAACTTTTTTCTCAGAGGGCATAACTTTAACATAATCCTTTATCAACTGATGATGGGAAGATTGAACCTACCTGACGCCATTTTTTAAAACTGTAATGAAAGCTTCGCACCATCTCGACGTGGTACGGGCTAGTAATGCAACACACTGCTTAGTAGCGGCAAAACATATGAATTGTCACCTGGAAGGCTGATGTATATAAAATATATTATTGTCATTTTTAATTTGGAGTCTGCCACCGAGGTAGCCAATTCTACATATGTGGTACCATTTATCGATCAGAAAACTACAGAGAATAAATAGCACGAACATTGCATGATAAATTTTGAGATGTTATATGCTTCTACAAATAGTTTTATGTGGATGTTAGATCGCCGGCATCATTTGTCTTTACTTTTTCTAAAACAATCTTGGTGGTGCCCCATTAACTGTACTTTCTACCGTCGTCGCGCCTTTATATTTTGGAAAGGATCAATCGAGAAGCTTTCCAGCCCCATTATCGAAGTTCTAGAAGATTCGAATCGATACTTGTCAAACGTTCCCGGAATCGGCAGAACGCTCTCACCATGTGAAGGCAATCTCTCACGTACAGCTGTATAACTACCTGTATGGTTGCCCAAGCGTCGATGTTTCTGGACGCCTGTGAAATCTCCTGGTCTATGAACTAGGGTGCCCCGCTGGTACCGAGTTCTAGTTATACGAGGGCGTTACAATACCTCTTTTCAACTTGTTTTCATAAAACTCCAATTATTTTTACTCCCTACGAAAATATTTTGTACTTTCCAATAAAAATAAAGTAGAACGTTTTTGGGTTCTAAATAATAGGACAAAGCAACACAATGAGAGAACAGTGTGTACTAGAGGAAGTTTTCAAAAAGAAAATCTCTTGCATTTTCACGTCGGGGATCTGAAACAAATGGAACGATGCCAAATACAGCCCGTTATTTTTTTCTAGATGCACCAGTGATCTAAGATCCATCTTAATACAGAAACATAATGATACTATTTAAGTGTAATAACGTTATAATTTTATTTCATTACTCGTTTCTAACAGTAATCTGTTCCTCGGGGCAAGATACGGCATATCAAATAAAAAAAAATGAGAACACCACAGTTGCATTTAGATGTCGCGGTTGCGATTAATTCTTCTATACGTAACGCTCTCGTTGCCGATAACATTCTGTTTCTATGCCCGTTATAACATCATGTGTATAAACATTTGCATAGTGGTATGCACATATTTTGCTTGGTTCTGTGGCATATATTTGCAGCATGCAGTATGTAGATTGTCAGTAACATATATTTTAAGATATCTACTTGTTAAATAAGATATGTATAGCCAATGAAACTACACTGCGCATCAAAATTAGCTAGCACTCCATATAAAAGCTACACCTGACTTTGTATGCTGAGGATGTACCGCTTGGCCCAGAGGTGGGCTCAAATGTTTTCCTCAATATTAGTTACCAAGCCAAATATTATGAACGCTAAAAATATCTAAAATAAGTTATTAGGTGTTACATGACATAAAGATCACGAAAAAATCATTATACACATTCCGGTCGGTCTGTCTATCTATCCGCTAATCATTGTTCCTTCTATATATACTCGGAAAGCACTGTTGAGACTTTGATAAAAAGTTTGATACAAAGTTACTAATATGCCAAGAGCGAAAAAGCTTTGCAGGTTTTGAAAATCGATCTAGTGTCGGCAAACCTACGGGCTTAAAAGTTAAAAATAAAAATCGCTCGAACTTAGTTTTCTTGACGTTTCAGAGACTGATTTTTGGAATATTTTTGAGAGGTAAAAAATTGGGTATGGAAGCATTGTAGCGGGTGGGGGAGAATATATCTTACAAGGTTTTAGAAGCTCCAATAACTCTTCGCGCCTACTAGATACATTTTACACATAGATTTTCCCGTAAATTTGCCCTTGAGTCTAAGAGTGACAGAAATATGTTCAATACTCGCCTAACCGGTGAAGAACCTAGAAAAAACCTGTCGTTTGTTTGATTCTTTGTTTCAAATTTATTTAGCATTAATGCTACAACGTCCATAATATCCATATTACACAGTATATCACAAAATATATTATGTCTTCAAGACCACATATTTTTATACAAAATTTCACTACTATGAATTCTGGTTTTCCATGAGATATTTTTTCAATTTCCCTTTGAACATCTTGATATCATTACTTAATTTATTAAATTCGTACAATCCCTTTTGAAATACTGACTTGCTCGTTATATTGCTACTGCAGTTTTGTAAATGAAAGTCTATACTTCCTCTAGTAGAATAATTGTGGCACTCATTGTTCAATACAATAAAATTTTCTAAGTGATTTGGTAGAAAATGATTTTTTAACTTGAATATGAAAATGAAAACCAAGTAGGCTATGAAATTTTTGATATTTAACCATTGTAGTTCTTTCAGCATAAAATTTATTCTAGTATATTTATTTTTATTTAAGATGATTTGCTACCCCGTGGCACATCTACCGAAATGTTTTAAAAATAATAACGTATTGCCAATTTTAGTTCTTTGACAATGTATCCCTGTCAATAGTCTCAAATGCTCTTTTGAAATCTAAGAACAATGTTATTGCAAACTTTTTTTCAGCCATATTTCACCTGCATTCTTCTACTACCATTTGAATTGCTGTTTCAGTAGAATACTTTTTTCTGAATCCTGCTTGAAATTTTGTCAATATATTATTATTAATAATAATAATAATAATATTTATCCACTCAATGTACAAAGAGAACAAACAACATGAGTCAATAAATATAAAATCAAAATAGGTCCCATGGAAGGCATTGCCTATACATGGACATACATATAATTTTAAGTTGCAACTGTAGAATGCAAATGACAAAGAATGACAAAAATTGGCCACAGTAGAATATGCATTTACTTGATGTTCGTATTTATGAGTTTATGAATTTCAGTCCTAGATATAAAATGTAGCCACTTTTTTAAATTTCTTTTGAAACAATTTCCTTAAATGTAAATCTTTCAAGTCTTTAGGTGTAATTTCTTATTTTTTTTTCTGGCACTAGGACATTGCGTCCCATTAGCCAGATCCAATCTTGTATATGTATGTATATCTCTAATTATGGACAAACACACGACGTCACAACATCCATGGCCTCGAAATGTGATTTCCGAAGGCGAGATTCGAACTCGCGGCCCGGCCGGCCGGCTGATCAGTAGCACGACACTCTGACCCACGCGGCCAACCGAGGTCCCTCATATAATTTTGCCGCTAGATAGAGTTATGACCGCTGCATTATAGATTTATGCGGCTGAGAAACTACTGTGCCACGAATTTTGTACCTTGTGTAATGATTATGTTTAATTTTTTGGTCGGTGTTGACAAATTTATGGTAGTGAGTGATACTGTGTAAGAAATAAAGCTGTCTTATATCATACATTCGTACATCTGCGTATAATTTGTCAGTGGGATAAAGTTTCGGTTTTTTAAACATCATTTTTAGAATACTTTTTTGAAAAACATCTAAATTATAGATATGTGAGGAACATGCAGCTCCCCATGCTAAAATACCATATGTGACATGAGGCTCAATCAGTGCATGGTATAATGTTCGAAAATATTTTTCTGTGAATATATTCGTAAGGTATTTAACTTTGTAGGATACAAATCTAACTTTCTTTAAAATATAATTGACATGAATTTCCCAACGTAAGTGAGGATCCAAGACCTCTCCAAGGTATTTTATGTTCGGTACTCTATTAATTTGTATTTTATGATCAATTATGCTGAAGGAGAAATTTGTGTAATTTTGAAGGAAATTCGCCATACACTAAACAGTGATTCACTTACAATAATAACTTCTCTCCAATAATGTTGAAACATTCCTTCATAACCATTTTTGAAAGATGTTCACTAGGATTTCTATTCGATTTGAATCTTGTAATAGCTTTTGAAAGAAGGCTGATATTTATTGTTTGGAATTGTCGCGTAGAATAGTTATAAGCAACTTGCATGTGACATAGACTTGGATCCCCATCTTCGATTGATTGCACTATCTCATCTATACTTTCTACAAAATAAGCGTTCATTCGTTCTGCAATCAATATTTTTTGTGTTACTATACCATCTTCGAAGCACATTCTTGATAATTCATTCTTCCCATTGGGAAATACAATATTTTTTATTGTCTGGGGAGGACAAAAAAGAAATTTGTAGATCGCATTGTTGTCAGGTGGGTGTAGACTAATGATATGAGCCTATTTGACTGACTTAATCCATTCAATTCTTGCGTTGTATATGCTAACTTTTTTTAAGAAGGGCTCACTTGTGCCTTTTATGAATTAATAACAGCGTTACATGAGAAGTGCTGGGTCAACCTACTTTTTTACCTTATCTTTTCACTCGTTTGTTGGATTTTTTTCTGAAATTCATGTAATAAAAGAGAATTCATTTAAACCCTTTGCATTTCACGCTAAAAGAATCAGCCAATATGATTTGATTTTTATCCTGAATGGAGCGTCCATAGAATTCCATGTCAAACCATCAATATCAGAGAAAAAATGTCACAAGTAAGTTACAGCTTTGGCGCGAAATTTTAAATCTAGGAGGTAAAGTCTCCCACTTTTCATTTAAAGAACAAAGTGAAGACACTCAGAATACCCTTTTTGGAGGAAAACCTTGATATTCCGTCACAATAAAAATTTTGAGAAAACCTTTTCTTTGCAGAGATGTACAAAATCATTTCGAAATTAAAATGATACAGTAGGTATTAATTAGATTAGAACGGCAATAAATTTGTCAGTTGTGTCGTCAAACCTCAAGCTGTAAAATATGCTATTTTGACAATTTTCAGGGATTTTATGCATTGAGCATTCTAAATAGCATTTAGTCTAGGTATTTCCTATTTTCCTGAAAACTTTCTGACTCGTATGCGATTATTTTTACTTCTAGAATAAAAAAATCAAGCTGCAATATTTTCTCTATTACGTGCGCTGGCAATATTCAAATAGCCAACTTATTCTTTTAACTGTTATCATATGTATTTACTTTGTTAACAATTACAGTGTTATATGCTTTTACTTCCTATCTGACTTAATTTTCCGCTATCTGGAGAAGTGGGACATACCTTATCAACATGGGCATAACAATTAACTGACAATACAAGAATGCAGTGAAGAAATTTGAATATCTAATATTTTGAATTACAAAGTTACCCTGTATCGCATTTTTACCGAGGTGCATGGACTTGAAGTTATAATTTCGAAATAGAACCCAATTCTGATAGGAATTGGAATTTTATGGTCAACAACTGTACCACTGGCGTATAAACTAGGATATTTAAATTCATAAGGAAGGAGCATTAAACATATTTTCTACGCCTCTCCCTTTCGAATAAGTTCTTCAAACTTACGTGAAATAAGAAATTTTTGTTAGACCGTTCCTTCTGGAGAGGAATTGGTTTGAATATTTAAGGTGGAATCTGTACACTTTGAAAACAGGCTGACGTTTTTATACCTATTTGATGTATTTACAGATGACCAAGGTGTTGAACAACAAACGAACGATGGCTACTCTTACGGTTAAAAACTGCATACCTCCAGGGTACCAGTTTTGCGTGACCAAGAATAAGAAGAGGAAATCCAAAGTAGCTAAGTTCACCAATAACACGAACGAAAGTCTTTTTTATTTTGGTTGAATATAATTTATTAAATATTTTTATTGCTGTTGTTTTACTTCCCGTCCCAGAAAAAAAATCAGTTCAGAAGTGAAAAAATACAGAAAAATTTAAAGAGGAAAAGACTGGAAATGATTCTTGTCTATCTGAGTAACTTTATTTGAGCCTCTAATTAAAGTCCCTCTCTTACCTTATTTATTCTTCCATTCTTTTATCAACAATGGTTGTTTTTTGAGTTTCCAAACCTGACAGGCTTGCGAACTAATATTATGACAAGGTCCTAGGTCCTAGAAGTGATGTTTGCGAGTCTGAGAAATATACAGAGAGAAATAAAAAATACACTACTCAATCAGCTTCTTCCTATGTATTTGCGTTTCTTACCATTTTTAGGTGTAGTCACCGATATTTTGGTTGGCCAAAAACTGCAAAACTTCACCTCTGCGTTGTTTTACCTGTATTTTGGAAATATATTTATATTGATTAAATGTAGTAACGAGACGATCTACTTGACTGTATGTTCCGTCAAAAGTATATCTATTTGGCTCATCTATTCTGATATCCTTATCAATAGGAGAATTTTGTCCAATTTTTTATAATAATACAATTAGACCAAGCCGCATAAGATTTCAAGAGCATTGTTCACCTGACCCGCAGTGGATTTACTCTCGAAATGTCGAAATATCTAGTTAGATCTGAATGTACACGATAATCGTGGGTGATAACGCCTACAAAATGTTACCGGTTCAATGCCTTTTACACAATTTTTAATAAAGTCGAACAGGTATTTATAAGTTCATTCAGGATTATGTTGTCAGACTAAATCGGGCTGTTTAGTACCAAAAAAAAAGTCTGTTGACAAAACAATGTTTGATCTTTTAAGAAATGAAATGTAGGTATATTTCTTATGGACTTTCAATCAACCTGTCAGGTATTCTAACTAGTAGAAGAAAGAATCGCTATGATGCTATGAGGAAGCATAAAATCAGTTTCATTTCAATATGTGAGTGTGGACGAAACAAAGTCTCAGTACTACAGGGTCTAAACGGTATGGTAGGCAGTATTGAAATGGATAATAGGGGGGTCAAAACAAGTCAAAAAGTTCATATGACCCATGGTTCAAGAGTCAATAGATTTTTGTCTAAATGGCTATGTAGTTTACAACTTTAAGTGCTTTATATCGACCACAATCACCACAACCTTACTAATTTTTATAATCTAATCTAAAACGTTTTTAAATTGGGTAATTAACAAATAAATGGCATTAAGTCTTTATAAGTTAAGCCAACATTTGTAGTCAGTAAGTAAGTTTCATTAAATTAAATATTTAAAACACACATGACCACAGTGCGTCGGTCGTTCATCACTCTTATCGAACCGGCAATAGATCGCAAACGGTAACAGTGGTTAGTTATCGTTTTGCATAGATAAATTACTTTATTGTTCTGTCGAGCAGAGCATCGGGAGCGTTGTTTTGTTTTTGTTCGCGTACGTCGTCGTGGTTATTTACAATGTTCTCGAATCAAGAGTTCACCGACATGTTTTAATTTAATTTTCGGTGAAGTTCGTCAGAATTCAAATCTTGCAGCTCAAATTTATCGCGACAGATTTCGCCATCGGGTACACCCAGAGAGGACATTTGTGCAAGTGTACCAAAGACTTCGAGATACAGGAAGTGTTCAGCCCACTAATATTCGCACTCGTGAAAGACAAGTTACTGTAGAGCAGGAGGAACAAATTTTAAATCAATGCAGATATCAGCACTCGGGAATTAGGCCGCCGCGTAGGACTAGAATCCTACGGGAAAATTTGCTTTATCCCTACCATGTACAACAAGTACAGGCCTTGTTACCAGAAGACTATCCTCGCAGACTAACATTCTGTCAGTGGTTTTTGAACAAAAATATTGAAAATCCGGATTTTTTTAAAAACATTCTAGAGACGGACGAATGTACTTTTACGCGAGACGGGATATTAAATTTTCATAATACTCACACGTGGGCTCAAGAAAATCCTCATACCATTCGCGAAGGTCATTTCCAACAACGTTTTAAAATAAATATTTGGGCGGATATTCTTGACGATCAGGTAATTGGCCCTTTCGAGTTACCCCCAAAGTTGTCAGGAGAAGGATACCTTAGCTTTTTAGCCAAGAACCTACCAGAAGTTTTGGAACAGACCTTAGGCAACATGCCATTGCAACGGAGACAGAATTTGTGGTTTCTTCATGACGGGGCACCACCACACATTTTTAGAGACGTCATTCAGTATTTGAATGAACATTATCCAAATCGCTGGATCGGTCGAAATGCTCCTTATCCTCGAAAATGGCCAGCAAGATCTCCTGACCTCAATCTGATGGATTTCTGGTATTGGGAAGAACTTAAAGGGATGGTTTATGGGGCTGGTCCAATAAGAATTGAAGCACAACTTCGCGAAAAAAATTAATGCGGCTGAAATAATAAATGGACAAGTTCGAGGACCTAGAGTAAGAAGAAACTGGGTTCGTCGTAATCCAGCTTGTGTGGAAAGTGAAGGACAGCATTTTGAACACCTTCTTTAAATTTAAAAAAAGTGCAGTGTGGGTTTTAGAAAGAAAAACAATGTATGTATCAAAATTGTGTTCCCTATTTATAAGTGCATTTTTTTAGTACGTTCGATAAACTTTCACACACCAGGTGAAGCGTAGAGACAGTTAGTGGTAAGTCCGTTTTTTTAATTGTTTGCATTTTACGAATACATTATCAAATAATGAAATAATACCTAAGAGTCAAAAATAACAAACTCTATCTTTAATTACACTGCGTTCCGTTGTAATTTGCGTCAGGCAATGCGGCGTTGTCAGATTTTATTTTACTTTAAAGTCGCTTTTCTCTAAAAAAATGCCGTTTTGACCCCCATGTTATATGAACCTTTTTGCTTCTTTTAAGCCCCTCTATCACCCATTTAAATAATGATTATCATAACGTTTACACCCTGTATATCTCTTATACAGGGTGACTTTGAAGTTGAGTCATTAATTTTCAGATAATGATTGTAGAAGGAAGATAAACCAGAATATGTGTGTAAAAATAAAAAAAAATTAAAAAAAATTTTTACCTTGTTTTATAAAGTATCCTCCCGACAAGTATTTCAGTGCGGACCTGTATTTGATCGTGAGGTCCCCTGTGAGGTCTTAAGTCACCTGATTCACGAGCCCGTTGTACTACATTAACAAAGGCACGAGGGGTTGGTTGCACTCGATTGGGAAACCGATCCGCATAAACATGTGCCATTTTTTATTTCGTTTGAGCCACGCAACAGACACTATTCACACGCTAACCGACAGACACTGAGTGTATGTATAACTGAACTGAATAAAATACTTAATTGCAAAAACGTTCCAAATTCTTTCGCTTTTTTGTTTCCGATGCGATGAACTGGTAAGGCGGATTATATCCGTTGTTGCCAAACACGAGTACATGATATTATTATTGAGACAGGGCGGTACTCAAACTTCCAAAGGGCTATAACTTTGTTACTTTAATTTTACCAGAAAAATGGTAAAGGAAAAAAACATTTCTTTTGATCAGATCTACTCACTGTTAAAATAAATGACTCAACTTCGAAGTCACCCTGTATAAAATGAGATCCACGCACACATTCGGTTTTAATGGGTGGCCAAGCTTTGTCAGGAGATTCACTAGGAACATTACTTGGCACAAACACATCTGGACAATCTCAGCAGCACCTAGGAGGGAGCTGGTATATATAAAAAATATACCAGGCCTAACGCATAATAATAATAATGTTTATTGGAAGATTGATGCGTAATAGAATAAAAATTTTACTACAATACAATACAAAAAAATATTAGCCCAAAACGCTGAGGATTGACAAGCCATCTTTCACCCTACCTTGGGTAGCTAATGTAGATACAATCCGAGTTTACAAAGAGTGAGAAAAACATATGCACCGTATACAAGAACTTATCGCTATAAAACTATAATACAAAATTTCAAAGGATTATTATAGTGGTAACAATTGATCTACTTGTAGCTTCATCAAATTGTAACTGTAGCAGCTCTTTTTTAAATTCTTTTTCGAAACTATGAATGGTCGGAGTATTGCAGCAATAATCGTAACGCAAGAATATATGATGAGATTTTTTCCCTAAAGCGTTAAAAAAATTATTTGGCGATTTATATTTCAAAACCTTGAATAATAAAGCGGCATGAGCGACATTTTTATTTCAAAACGTTTGCTGATCTCATTGAAACAAAACACGAAACAGTTTATTTGCAGAACTTGAATCTATAAAAAAATCTATAATTGGCAGTGCCGAATTTTGACACAATTACGTGTTTTATTATGCAAATTCTTCCAAGTAGTGGGTACACTATTTTCGGAATGAAAAATCAATAAGTCCATTAATATAAAATGCCCGGAGCTATAAACACTTGCTTCTGTGACCATCAAAAACATATTCAATGTTGTATTTATACGCATGATCTCATCTAACATAAATTTCAGAAAAAGCGTTGAATTCGCTTTCATAGTCCTCATTCCTATGCACGCAGGCAGTTGGAGCGATGATAGGGTGTAGTTCTAGTGGAAATCTTTGAGAGCAAAATATGAAACGGATTATAGACACGGTAAGTAAATCAGTTTTCAATATTTTATTTACGTTGGTAATGATAAAGCAAGATCGGGGTGCAATCCTTCAAGACAAACCCAAGTTGATGGATCGTTACGTATATGGAAAGCCACTGGGAATATTCTCCCGAACACTTACTTGCATTATCATATTATTAGATACAACTTTTTTTTCGAGCGATTTCGACAACAATGTATAATTTATCGAAATTCGTACTAGACGAGTGTAAATGGTTAGCTGTTTAAGCCGGATATACAAGTGACTAACAATATTTTATACTAGAGGTGATGTTCTCGTTTTTTATAATGGCAACTTTCTTTTACATCCCACGCCTAGTGGCGAGGAGTTATGAAAATCGCAAAAAGTCTCGAAAATGATGTTTTCACTGGTGCTCCCACGGGGGGGGGGGATAAAGGGGGTAATTACCCGACTCGAGCAGTCTTTGAAAAGGTGGTATAATGTTAACGTCTCATAAAAAAATCTGTAACTTTAAGAAAGGATAGCGGCAACACTGCCAACCCGCTCAGCGCGCATGCGACTAGCGACTACTCTCCCACCAACAGCAACGGTGTGCGCTTCTTCCTGTTGGAACAGGTATAGCCTAGTCTTTTATGGTCTAGTCTAGTGTCTAGTCTGTAAATTCTGCATATGTCCAAGCTTTTAATGTTAAATTATTATAACACTTACGTACGTCACACTGAGAATTTACTTTCCATTTTACCCCTCCCAGACTGAAATCCTGGGAGCGCCACTGTATGTTTTTGGATGTTATATCATATGTACATCACGAAAAACCATGTCACTCATTTCCATCGGTCTGTCTGACTGTCTGTCTGTCTGTCCGCTAATCTTATAACCGCCTATAGCTTGAGAAGTACCGATCGGATTTCGATTAAATGCTTTGCACAATGTCACTACTATGCCAAGGATGCAAGAGCTTTTGAAAATCGGTCCAGGGGCGGCAGAAAAAGGGGCTAAAATAAAAAAGGCAAAATCGTTCATACTCCTTGACGTTTCTGAGGATCTGATCATTGTTTAAACACATTTTAGCGATAAGAAACTTGAAGGTGGGAGCTGTAAGGGTTTGCGGAGGGTTTATCTCATTTTTTGATGCTGGTTTATTTATACGCTCCCAACATTGGTAATTCTACGCACATATTAGACATAGTTCACACATCATAGATTTCTCTGTACATTAGCCCTGTAAACAGAATAATATTCTCTGGAGACGGATCGGCCGCGGCTGCTGCAGGCGTCGTGCGCCGACCGTGATGATTTTTTTTATACTCCAACTACCACGAAGGCCTAAGGCCTAAACACCCATTGGGTACCGTGGGGCTATAGGGGGATACAGGGGAAAGGGGGAACGCCACACGGACTCTGGCGAGGGAACACGTGTGCATGCAACATGCACACATTCTGGCTCCGCCTACGAGATCCGCCGGGTGGTACTTCCACGTTCGACAGTCAGAGACCGTCTACCACCTACGGACAATCACAACATCCATAGCCAAGAGAAAAATTTCTCCTGGGACGGGACTCGAACCCGCACAGCGCACGACGACTGATCAGGAGACCGAAGAGTCTACTACTGCGGCCGCCGCTGCTGCCTAATGATGACGAGTGTTCACACATATCTCTGCTACGCAACAACATAGTGTTTTCTATAGTCTTGACGCGCTTCCATGATGCCACGTCTGCCCGATTGAGGTATCGGGGAGAAGCGATGTTTCCAGATGCACTACCGGTAGCGCAGGGAAAGAATGTCTATGGACTAACTGTATGGACCTGTTTGACTGACTTTTTTCTCAAAGGATCTAGTTTTGCTGAACATATTCCTTTATGTACTGATAAGGGCGTTGCGTTGGTAGTGCAGAGTCAACATACTTGATGTCATTTTTTTGTGTTGAGAGTTTTCGTATAAAGACAATGGGCCAATACAATGTAAGTTACAGTGGCTACGAAAAGTTACATAATGGAAACTATTTTATCAATATCAAAACAGTGGGACAAAACACTGAAACATAATTGATGACAATTCGATTGATAAATACTAAAATCTTTGCGGATACTATTAGAAGTAACGTGGAAATTGAATGACGATACATACAAGTTTTCTACTGTATTCGTCTTGATTAATGAAAATAAAAAGACTGGTGATGGGATATTGGGATTTAGTAGAAATAAGTTACTCAGAAATCGGTGCATGGGCAACAGTGCAGTGTAATAAAAATAATTAAAATGGCGCCAAGTAAGTCGACTCTGTACTGCCCACGTCACACTGTCATCAGTTTGTGATGGATTATGTTTGGCACAAGTTAGCCCTTCTGAGAAAAAAGTTAGACACGAACATGCATAACGAAAAATTAATTCATCTTCCCGCTGAGAGGAATTGCGGTAGGTGCACATGATAGTTGCAAGACCAATCCCATGTGAATGGCGATTATTGGCCTTCACCATGCACATTTTAGGCAACCTATAGTAGTGTGCAAGATATTGCCGACTGTAATGTACAGACGTACGACCACCGATGACGACCCTTGTCCATCGGGGGGTGACGTCGCGCATATCGACAGTCGACTGTAGGAGATATTTACCTTAAGTTTTAAGCGTAAACGTACGGGGGACATCTATGCCTAATATGTGCGTAGAATTACTGGGGTTGGAGGCATATGAATATAACAACGTCAAAAAATTGAGATATATTCTCCCCCACCCCCTGCAACCTCTAACCCCCAGTTTTTAATCCCTACAAAAATGTTTTCGAAAATGGTCAGGATCAAAAAACAACGTTTACGCGATTTCTGTTTGATTTTCGGTTTTGGCCTTTTTCTCTGTCGCCACTGGACCGGTTTTCAAAGACTACAGAGCTTTTGCGTCCTTGAAATGATCGTAAAATGGTGTGGAAATTTCATCGAAATCCGAGCTGTACTTCTCAAGTTATAGGCGGTTATAAGATAAGCGGACAAATAGACCGACGGACCAATAGGCGTGGACGGAAGATATTAACTCCCTATACTACTTCATTATGTTGTTTTCGAATTTACGAAAATTTTTGCGAGTAGTCAAGAAAGCATGCTATGTGGGTTATTGTTTAAATCATCCACTTTACCATGTTTCCTAATAAGTCTTTAACCCTTTTGGAGTAAATCAGATTTGTTATATTGCATCTGAATAAAACTGAAGTCTGGGAGATCTTGTTTATATTGATGCCTTCCAATTTTATGATTATAGCAAAGCTAATAGTTTTCGATATATTTGTTTTTAAATGTTTCAATGCATTATTTGTACCATGATGATAAAACATTTTTATAACATAATAATCAAGTTGCTTTGGATCATATCTGAGTAGCGTTGCTATAGTTTCTAATGTTTGTCATAATATTGCTTTAAATTTCAAGAATAATTTTAAGTTGACAATAAGTTGTTAAACATCATGGAGAATACGTTTGATGAATATTCTGATAAGCATTTAATATGCGTGCTGGCAAGATGTAATGCTTTAAAAACAAATATCTCCAAAACTATTAGCTTTAGACACTTTTGCTAACAAGCAAATCTTTTTTGTTGTGAAAATACGAGAAAATAAGATTTTTCGGTCAGTTGTTGTATACAGGGTAGCACAAAAAAGTTATGATAAGTTATTTACCGAAATAGTGCTGTAAGTGGCGCCCTCTAGAAGTGTGGCCAATAAACATAACGGATTCTTGTTTCTAATACTAGAAAACCTCTCTATACCGAGTTTTATGCCAAAATCTGAAATACTTACTCAAGCAATAATGAAAAATTGAAAATAAAATTGTAACTTTGACACCCTGTATCTCGTAAACTATCAACTTTTGGACTAAGGTATGTTTAGGTCAACTCACATATTTTGGTCTGTAGTATCTCCAGAGATTTCCCAACCAGTATATTGAAAAACGATTTTCGAAATTTCGAATACGTACTTTTCGATTTGGTCAAAAAATACTAAATAATAATAATAAGAATAAAATGCCTTTTATTTTCCTGGCAAGGATTCAGCTAGCAGCTGTTCTTACTCCCTAACCAGGGCACCAATTGCCACCAATGCCGGACATTATTTTGTAGGTTCTTTACAACTTTCTGGTTACAGACAATAAACTATTCTATTACTATATAACCTCCGTATTTACAAAATACCAAAATATTTCTGGACCTTCCAGAATTCTATTTTTGTCTTTTTTGTTTCTCACAGATAATATTTAGGCGTATCCAAAAACTTTCTTTACCTAAACACGTCGTTTGTTTTTTATTTTGCATTGTCGGTTTATTTATATCGGTTTATTACTTCGCCCCAAGGCTTATAATGTTTTCCTCGTGCTTTTCGATATTGTGAGGTGACTAAGATTCAGATAATTCTGCATACAAATGATGTTTTGCTTTTGCAGTTAACAAAACGAATGGCAATTTCCATTATCTTTTTTACGCGGAAGTTGTTATCAAAAGGATCTGATTTTGAAACACTTCGCAGTCTATCAAGCATCTCGGAAATTACTGAGGTCACATTGACACAGTTAAACGTTGCTTGAGAGTAGACAATGTCATACAGTACCCTCTGAGGCTCTATTGATCTAGACTCTAGGCTGTCGTCACTAGATTCAGGATCAAAAAGTAGCTTCAGACGAACTGGTGCCTATTTTAAATATTACATAATAAAACTGGGTTTATTTGTTAATGTTAGCAAGCCGATAATATCGAGGTAAAATCACGTAAAAGGTAATTCAAGGTAGATACTCAGTTGTATCTACGCTCTTTAAACTTCCTGATTGGATGTAATCATCAAAGTACTTTAAGATGCTTCAAGGGCGGATTTAGAGGATGCATGTAATACTTGTGGAAGATACAGCTTAGGTTAAATTAAGAAAAAGCTGCCTTCTTTGGGGCGTATTTACATGCCGTTGAGAAACTTGTAAAAATTTACTGAGATATTTGGGAAAAAGGAAAATTTGTCCAAATCGTTTAAGCTTCATCTGACAT